CTTATAATGGTAATTTCAGATTGATTTTTACGAAGCTACTCAAAAGAGATCATTCTTATTAGCAGCCTATGGGTTAATCATCTCGGCAAAAATGCTTTTTGACGGATGCGATCCAATGATTTTAGAAATTAGTTCTTCTCCTTTTCTAAATTCATTTCCCACGCGACTATCTGAAATTACCATTATAAGAAGGGATTTTTGGATGGCCTTCTGTGATAGTAAAGGGAAAATTTGGGCAGTTTCCCTTATAATACGCTGGGCATGAAAATGTATTTGGTCGATTCAGAAAGTAACCTGGTAATGATGAGAACTTGTTTTTCTATCAGATGTACTCAACCGCAAATTTTGTCCGTAAATAATTTTTCGAGCTGGATCCTAAATCGAGACATGGAGCCTTTCGTTCTAGAAAGAGAAACTTACATGCCAGGACGAGGTAAAAAAGATCCCTCCCAATCATATGGATCTTCTAGAAAGTTTTTCCTCTCAAGATGCTTAAAGAAGGTCATATCTGGAGATAACAGCGGATTCCATATTCCCAATCATAAAATTTAAAGGATAAGTAGCCATCCAATTATATGGACAAGGAGCTTAGGGGTGACATTCTTTAATTTTCTTTAGGGTTAGAATAAGCTTATGATGTTCTTAAACTCGACGCAACGCATCTCCAATTCAGGCGACATCAATTTATTACGACATCAATTTTAATCACAACGGCCACTAATAAATGTAATTCGTTGCTGCCAAACCGTGATAGAATTTCAAAATTAAGTTATAATCACCAATTCATCAATGATTGCTTTTAATGGCAAAACTTGCTTCATTACCTCTTCCCACGCTTCAAAATCTATTAAATCAGTACAAAAAGCACGTCAAAGCGCTGCAGTATTCCCATGGATATTCCAATTCCGATATTGAAGGCTCCATTGTTAGATTTGAAAACTTTATCAATTCTCCTTTAGCAACGACTCTGCAAAATAGACTCGAAGAAAAGGCAGCTAACACGGTATGGTTAGCTTTTAATCGATGAAAGACTAATTGGCTTGAAGACATATGGATAAAGTGGGCCTATATGGCATATAGAGAGCCATTGGCACCCCACTCGAACTGGTGGATGTATTTTAAGCGACCTGAAGGTGCCGCTGAAAGACAAATTAGGCGTGCGTCCAAAATTGCATATTATGCCTGCACGTATTTCAGAGAGCAAATAAATGCTCTGGATCAAGAAACCTTTCCAAATGGCTCTCCAATATGCATGTGGCAATATAGCCAAATGTTTGGAGTAACCAGAGTCCCGAATATAAACTTTGATCGTATCCATATTTCTGAATCAAACAATGTGTCTCCATATTTTTTGCTTATCATCACCCTCAACAAAAGGATTTCCATGGTCAAGATATTTTTTTCAGATATCTCTTCAGAAGCTCAAATGGAACAGTATGGTTCCAGCATTATTAAATACTAGGATTTTCCAAGCTTTGGTTGAAAATTTGAACGTATGTCAAGATATGAATAGTGGGACTACCAAGCCACCTTTCCTTTTTTCCGAAGATCTCACACTTTTGAGCGCTTTACATAGAGACGATTGGGCAACGGTAGTTTATAAAAATCTAAATGCTTTTAGATTCGTACTGAGTTGAAAAAGATTCCAGGAAATAGCGCCGCGTTTAAGGCAGTGGAAGATTCTTTATTTAACCTTACTATTGACCTGACAACAGAAATATCTCAAAAATCGTCTATTTCTACTATTCCAAGGAAGGTCTTTTTAGATTGCCAGGGAATTTGGCTTGACAAAGCATTATCTTTCGTGATATTCAAAAATGGAGAAGCAGCACTTAATGGAGAGGTATTTCCGTGGTAACAATATTAACCTGTAGCATTCACCTTGCGATGCAGTGATCCCATCCAAGCTAGTTGACTATATATTGGAAAAGTGTTCAATAAATTCAGAAAAGGGTGGTGTAAACACCATTAAAGATATGGGATTTAGCGGGGTTGAGCCGGTACACTTCAACTTATCAATTCCCTTGCAAAAAAACATTCCAATCATCAGAAGGGCAATGGAGATTTGGAAATCATACATCCAAATTGAAGTTCTGGACACAGATAAATTTGGAAAGGCAATCATAAAATCAGGTAAGCCCAATAGGATTAGTTATCCAAAGCTGGGTTTTCTCCTGACTCTGTGGCTCAAGCCATAATCGTATTGGCATATTACCTTGCAAGCGAAGATAAGAAAATCCCAGTCACATATGAAACAGCATCTACTAGAAGATACAAGCATGGTCGTACAGAAAATATAAGGGTGTTGTCAGAAGATGGACATTTTTGGGCAAAATCAGCATCTAATCCTTCTGAAAAAATCGATGTTCTTGTAAAGAATCTTGAAAACTTCACGGCTTCTCATTTAGAGACAGCGAAAAACGCATCGTTTGCAAACGCCTTAGATAGGCATCTCTTTGGACTTATGAAGACTAGAAAGGATGAAGAGGAAGCACTAGAAAAAGATCTTTTTCAGAACGACAAAATCTTCATGTCCATGTTTCAATTTGATATGTCTACCTCAAATATGTCACCGGGAAATTCTTTCCAAGGACTGGGATTTGGAACACTTACACCATCCGGGTATGGCGTTAATTACTGTATTTCTGCGTCAAGGCTATTGTTTTCAATTAGTGCTTGGGAACATCAACATACTGATCAGAGATACCCGATGTTTGATTGTCCAAGGTTTGATGCAAATGGCCAGATACTTGAAGGAAAAAGTAAGCCCATCTCGAAGGAATGGTATGTTAATGAGTCAAGGGCCCAAAAATTCAAAAGGAATCTTCAAAAGGCCATCGAAATAACGAGAAATGTGCTCGATTATAAACGTGGCAAGTCCAAATTGTGATGCCATTAAAATTTATAAAGTTGGAATTTTTCAATGCCCCCTTCTAAAAAATCGACCCCATCCGTTCCAGACCGCGTAAAAGGAAACGCTAAGGTTTCAAGCAGTGAGTATGTATCTTTTTTTAACAATTTTTTAGACGAGCTCTATCTTCCTTAGTTTCTTCTCATGGAAAGGCATGTGAGACGCGGTTTAATCCATTCGAATATGTCGGCAGGAACTCAACACAGCAACATGCGGCAGGGTTTTGTATTCCTATTGAAGACCTTCACGTTTCATCTAATAGGCTCCTTCAAGAGTTAAAGAGCCCATTAAATTCTGTTTTCAAGAAGGATTATGCAACTAGATCCAAGGCCCTTCAATCCATCATTGACATTAGTTTAAAATGTGACTGTTTTGATGAATTCTGGGAAGCGATTTTCCCTTCCTTTAGTTTGTTGTTCATCACTTTAGCTGAAGATCCATCATATAGTATTCGAACAAAACTATTTGAGCTCCATTTAAAGGTAGTCTCTCACATGAGTGCCAAACTATTACATGATAATTGGCCTTTTCTAACGGAGATCTTCCCATATTGGCTGATCTTAATGTATGATCCTGAAAAAAGCGTTAGAGATGCCGCCAGAACTTCGTTTTCTTTTCTTTCCGCATCTAAGGATGTTCGGTCTGTAAATATAGAAATAGAGGATGGGTTCCCTTTTGAAAAGGATTCTGAGTTGATGCTAAAATTATTTGGGTCATCGGAAGAATCGTTGCTCAGGATGTTTAGTTGCGTTTTTGACCAATTGAAATCTATTGTCGCAAATTCCAAATTTCAAATTGAAGATCCCCTGTTAGAAAGGAACACTTGTTCGATTCTTCAACTTGGGTGCTTGATGCAAACAAAGTTTTGTACCTTTTCTAACATTTCCGAGCTTTTTTCGGGGTTTTTGGACAGGTCGTGTATTGCGTATCTAACCGATTCTCGTACCAAGGGCGGATTGTACAAATGCTTCTGCCAATATGTTGCATCGCTGTTAAAAAGCTGCAAATCTACATTGGTTCCTGATGAATCTTTGATTTTTATTTGCAAATTGATACTCATAAGAGCCAATAAAGACGACTATGTTGAGTCTTTCCCTATTCTAAATAGCTGGACCTTGATTGAAAAAAATCCAAAACTCGTGGCAGAATCCTCTAAAATCGTTCATGACTGGCTATGCTCTAAATGGCAAATTTTACCATCTTTCTCTATTCTTCGAATGATCCCGAAATTCGTTTATGCTTTTTGTACTGATCTTAAATGGTGGGCCCTTCTCGTATCTTCCCTTTCTAAATGTAATATTTTTTCCGAGTCTCAACAACGAGAAGTTGCGCTCTGTTTGGCCGATTGCCAGAACAAATTCTTGCTTTTGTGTGGAAAAAAGGTGTTTGCAGAAGCTGAGGTTGAATCCGATATAATCAATCTGTTCCTCTCCAATTTACTATCAGCAAAGGTTTGTAATTTTGTCTGTGCTGGTTTTATAATTACAGTGCTTTTGGCGATGTTTCCATTTAACCTTTTAGGTAGCGTTCCCAGGAACAACGTTTTTGTCAACATATTTGGATTCCATCAGCGATCATATCCAAGCATTTGATACCAGACTGTTCAAAAGATTTTGGAATGTGATCGTTAGGATACTCACTCCAAATGTACTAAACTTTTCCTTGAACTGGGTTAGGTCATTTGCCGCATATTCTATTTCAAAATTTAAAATTGAATCCATTTCGTCGATGCAATTGATCTTTTTAAGAGAAATATATCTTGACATGGCATTTCATGAGAGGCCCGATATAGGGCGAACGCTGTTACGAACACATCAATTCAGTAGACTATGATTTTAATCCCACTAGACACTCTGTTGTTTAATAATCCAGAGGCAATTGAATACTTTTTGGAATATGAGCCAAAAACACAGGCTCTTTCGTCTTTTAAGATTGTTTTAAAAGGTATACCGCATCATATTTACTTTCCAGAATACTTTATTGAAAAATGCACGTCTTTTGTTGATGTTGACACGGACATTACAAGTCAATTGAATTCTCTAGCATCTTTCCCGGAAGCCTATCCGCTAGCATTTCAATTTGTTTGTCAATTTGGAAAAGACTTGATTTCTGCTTGTGAGTCTTCGTTTTGTCATACGCAAAGCCAGGTTTTTAGCCAATTTCCAACCTCTGTGTTAAGGGAAATCCTGACTCCACAAATATTGGCACAATTTTTAGATTCTCTGCTAAGCTTGGACGACAACTTGTTTGTTCCAAAGGCATCATATACCTTTACCGAATTTTTATTCCAAGAGCCAAATATGAGAGTAATAGAATCTTTTTTGGTCAAGTTGTTCGAGTTTTTGCCAGCGATTAATTATTCAGAAAAGTACACATCAGACGCCATTATATTTTTTTCGCATTTCATCGAAAAATGTGTAGCGTTACCCGGTGATATATTTCGAAATGTACCGCCGAGTTCCGTTTTCGTTTTGTATCTTAAGAATCACAATGTCCCGGAACTGCGATTAAAAGCCTCTTTGTATATGGCATTAAAGTATATTACTCGCCTTTCTGAAGTTGGTAGCTACACATTTTTCGAT